GGGACTTCCAGGCTATACTCGGCACAGATGTTCCCAGGATGTGGTCATACGTGGAATCCATACATGGCATTCAATGTATGCCCTGCTTGTGTGATCCACACAAATATGTGGTCACAATTTTGAGTTAAGTGGTGTGATATATGGAGATTATTATGCATGTTTTATGTTGCTGGTTTATTGGTGGAATTTAAGTCCACAATGTCATGCAAGTACTCTGTTGCCAGGAGAGTCTATAACACTTTGGACAGTAGGGGGCAGCAGTGTGCTTTGGGAACTAGCGATGTGCGATACCACTGATTTCTTTTCCGATACGATACCAAGAAAAATTCAGGGTGGTATCGACGATACTGATCCGATACAGATACTTTGTACAAAAAACTTAATGTTTCATTGTATTTCATATATAATTGTATTATGTAATTGTAATAATAATATAGCTTCATAATGATTACAGGACATCAGACTACTTGTTCTTATTGCTTAATATTGCAGCACCCTCTCCTATCCCTCTCCTCCTCTTCAGTTGGCCTCAACATACGCTCATCATATTCTGTGATATGATTTACTGTGAGGTGTTTAACAAGGTTAGTGGTGTTGCCACAACACCTCACTGTCTTGCCACATGTATCGCAAACTGCGTTTTGACTGTTTGTGGAGGTAAAATACGTCCACACAGGACTCCGTTCACGCTCAGTCATTGTTGTGAGTGTGCACGCCAGGGGCTGCCTGCAACACATTTATACAGCTGTATATGTATGACTATGAAAGGCGTAAGAGGAAGTAGTTCCTTCCAATTTAGACGATCCAAATGATATAGTTTCTTTCCATTGGGCTCCTGTTAATTATAAACTACAAATTTACCCCAAAGTACTAAAATATTGATATTTTAATATGAGAATCGATTCTAGAACATAAATTACTGGTATCGGAAGAATCGATATTTCAGTATCGATCCACACACCACTATTGGGAACTGAGTCGGGTGCATAGCTGCCATAAGCTTATCATTCTGGCTAGACTGACCAGGCCAACAGCAGCGTGTCTCCTGTGTTCACTTTCTCTCCTGTTTTACAGGTCAGTAATGTGGTCAAAACCATAAAGAAATACACAGCTGGACACTGTGATACTTATTCTTTCATGACATAAGACGGCTGTGTGATATGTGATATATGTCACTTTCGCTATGCAAACTACTTTAGCTCTGTGGAATGTAATAGCTAAGCTGTATGCCTGGGTAATGCTAGCAAGCTGTTGCAACTGCGCTCGTCTCCATATAATAATAAGACGCACCAATCCGGCTGGGTTTACAGTTCCTGATAAACTTGTAGTTTTGTGTCCATGACAAATGTTTTGTATAACGTGTCTGTAAAGTGTTCCGGGCCAGCCTGAAGTCATGTGGAAACTTGCTGTTTCAATGTTAGAATCTAACTAGCCTGAAAAATACATATAAAGCAAAAGAGCTACAGCTAACAAAAATGCTGGCAAGGACAAGAAGTGCAGTAATGTTGAAGGTAAAGTTTCCTTTCTATGATAAGACACAACGTTGATGATGTGAATTATTTTATTTATCAGTTTTAAGGGGAAAGAGGTGCATTTGTCATTTGTTTCATTCATTTCAAGCTTTTGTTGTTTTATGCCAGTAGTGTGGCTTAATATTGAAATGCACTGGTGGAAAACGAGCTATTTGAGGGAATGAGCAGTTCTGGTGAAATTGAGTTACAAAAAGAGTGGAGAACATATGCTTGTGTTGTATGAATAAATTCTGGCAAGACTGACCAGGCAAATGACAGCATGTCTCCTGTGTTCACTTTCTCTCTTGTTTTACAGGATTGTATTCTGGCTGACGCCCACCATAGTGGGGCCAGTAACACTTGCTAGCACCTGGCACAATGCTATTATGTGCTGGATTGTCTCAGAGGCATCTTTACACAGCCTGCACTTGGGCTCTTGTCTGGTGCTGTAGACCCCATTCTCAATGGATCTTGTGTTGCCATGATTAGCGCCTCTGTGCTGCTGAGGTCAGCTGCCATCTTCCTAGTGGATTCATAGATGTTTGTTGTCTCAGTCTGGACCGTGGTACTGACACTGACTAGTCCTGGTCTCCTTTCTTCCACTTAGCGTACAGTCTCAGGGTGGTGGACTTGGGGTGAAACCCTCCATGCATGGTCAGGAGCTTCCTTGTCTTGATGTCAGTGGCTTCCATCTCCTCACCAGCTTATTATCCCAACAGGGTACCTGGTCACAGGCAGGGCGTAGGTGTTGATAGCCCGGATCTCTTTCGTTTCATTCAGCTTACTCCTCAGGACTTGTCTAAGTATGTGCCGGTACTCGGTGGCTGCAGCTTTCCTAGCGGCCTCCTAATGGTTCCCATTTGCCTGTGTGATTCCCAGATACTTGTAACTGTCCTCAGTGTATGCAATGTTGCTTCTAGTAGTTCGATCCCCTCAGTTCTGACTACCTTCCCTCTCTCGTTACCATCTGACTACACTTCTCCAGTCCGAATGACATTCCAATGTCATTGCTGTAGATCTTTGTGGTGTGGATCAGTGAATCAATGTCTCATTTACTCTTGGCATACAGCTTGATGTCATCCATGTACAGGAGTTTGCTGACAATTGGTCCATTCCGTATGTCTGTGAAGGTTCTCAGTCATCCAGGTCATAGTAGTCTAAGGAGCTTGGAAAGAAAAGCGTCTGGACTTCTTTAAGTTGCTTGAAGACATTTCACCTCTCATCTGGGAAGCTTCTTCAGTTCTAGGGTCAAATGGTGGAGAGTCCCAGGTGAGCTCATTGTGAAACCTAGCCCAGGATGCCTTAACGCCCACTCACATCCTGGGCCATCTGACCTCAGGAAATCACATGATAGGGTGGGGCTAGGTTTGACAATGAGCTTACCTGAAACCTTGGCTGATTGTGACCTACACCCATTTTCACACCTTGGCTCATGTGATTAGGTAGAGGATCATTAGGGGGTCCATTGTCCCTCTTGGTGGGTTACTCCCACAGAGCTTAAATCTGGGACTCTCCACCATTTGACCTTAGAACTGAAGAAGCTTCTCGGATGAGAGGTGAAACGTCTTCAAGCAACTTAAACAAGTCCAGACGCTTTTCTTTGCAAGCTCCTTAGGTCCATTCCGTACTTGGTATTTGTAGCCTGTTTTGTAAAGGATCTCACTGAGGGGGTTCAGGCCTATGTAGAACAACAGTGGAAACAGAGCATCTCCTTAGTAGATCCCTCGCTTGATGCTATCTTGTGATATTGGGTTGAACTTAGCCTCCAGTGTTCTATACCACATCCCCATCGAGTTCCTGATTAAGGCTCTTAAGGTTCTATTGATCTTGTACAGATTGAGGCATTCCAGGATTCAGGTGTGGGGCATCAAGTCATAGGGCTTCTTGTAGTCTCAGGTGTAGCTGGTGTTTGCTTCACTGGTATTCCTACAAATTCCTTTCTGTGCTCCGCTCATGTATTTGGCCATGTGCCTGTTAATCTTAGCTGCTATGATGCCTGACAGGAGCTTCCATGTGGTACTGAGGCAGGTTATTGGCCGGTAGTTAGATGGGACTAGTCTCTCTGGGGATCCTTGAGGATCAGGACTGTCCAGCCTTTGGTTAGCCATTCTCGCTGTCTCTCATTGACTAACAGTGGGTTCATTTGTCCTGCCAGATGCTCATGGATTGCAGTCAGCTTCTTCAGCCAGTAGGCATGAATCATGTTGGGGCCTGGTGCTGACCAACTCATGCTATGAGACCCTCTCTTGGATATCTGCCACTGTGATGGTTACTGGACCCTGTTCGGGGAGGTTGCTGTTGTCTGCTCTTAGGTCCTCTAGCCACTGAGCATTGCCAATATGGATTGGGTCCTTCTCCCATATGCTGTTCCAGTATTGCTCAGTATCCAGCCTTGGTGGTGCTGTTCTCATGTTGTCAGCTTATTTAATTCATTTCAATTCAATTTTAATTGTACAGCACCAAATCATAACAACAGTTGCCTCAAGGCACTTTTATGGTGAGGTAGGCCCTACAATAATGCATGCAGAGAAAAAAACAACAATTAAATGACCCCCTATCAGCAAGCACATTGGCGAGAGTGGGAAGGAAATACTCCCTTTTAACAAGAAGAAACCTCCGACAGAACCAGGCTCAGGGAGAGGCAGCCATCTGCCGTGACCGGTTGGGGTGAGAGAAGGAAGACAGGATAAAAGACATGCTGTGGAAGAGAGCCATCCAAGTACACCTTGGATGGTTCTGTGGAGAACAGCTGGTTTATTCTCCTGCCTTCTCTTTCTCAGGTATACCTATTCAAGCGGCTAGCCAAGTTGTGAGTCTTTGTTTGGCATATAAAACATATACACAAAACACACTTTAGTGAGTGAAAATTTTGGAACATATAATGAAAAATATATAGTAATGATATTAGAAAGGAACTTGTGAAATCCTCTACTATGATGCAGGTACTATATGTTCTCGTATACAAAGTTTTTATTAGAAAAGGTTTATCCCCTAATGGGAAGTGGACAGCATCGGGTCAAAGAGTGTTGAGTGTGCACTTATTTTTTAGACAATGGATGGTTAACAACTTTAATATACATACATGTGAATACATGTTGCTATATAAACATACAAGGAGTTCCATATGTAAGCGCCTTGAGGCAACTGTTGTTGTGATTTAGCACTATATAAATAAAACTGAATTGAAATGAATTGGTATTTATCTTCTGTTTATATAGATAACATCTGGCGTCCCTATTTTCTTATTTTTCTCAACTTGATTAGGTATATCAATTTACCAACAGCAAGAATAGGCCAAATAATATTACAACATATGTGTACTTGTATGTAAAGTATACCTGCTCACCAAAACAGTTTACAATAATTGAATAATGTTAAACAACCTTTACAATAATCCGGTGATCAATAATAAGTTTATTGTCTACCTTTATAGTGGTAGTATAAGAAACTAACAGTATCTCTTCTAAATTATCTGTAAGTGTATCTTACCTGTAAATCATGCCAGTGGTGTAAGACACACTGTCCCTAAGTGAAATGTGGTTCATCCTAAGGAAGTCCTCGAGATTTTTGAGCTGAGCAGCTGCACGAACTTCTCTCAGGCGCTGATAATCTGCTACGTGGCGACTGCGCTGTTGCTTTTCTTCCTGCTCCATTGCTTGCTCTGACAACAAACAGCTTAGGCCACTGTGCACACTCTCACTCATTGATGACAGGGAAAGTATCTTGCCAGACACTCCAGTTCCACTGCTGATGCTACCGCTTCGATAAATTCCATTACTGTCTCGACCTCCAGGTGCCACCCCTCCACTGGTCCCAGGTTTGGGCATCTAGAAGTAAGAGGACAACTTTTTTAAAAATTAAACAAGAGTCCAAAAACCCTGTATTAAGTACATCATCATACATTTAGTAAACTGTAGCACACCCACATGCATATAAGTTTGTAATACAATCACAGCTTTTTTTTCTTGGTATCTACTCAATCTATGCTGCTTTCAATATTCAAGTGCTAAAACTGAATAATTCATGGGTGAGTGGGGATAAAGGTGTGTTGGATTTGAAAAAAAAAAGAAAGAAAGAAAAACCTATGTCAGCCAGTTTTTCTCAGTCAGTTTCATGCAGTGTTTCAAGTGTTGAAATATGGAGTTCAGAATGTGTGTATTAACTGTTGAGGTCAATAAATTTATATTTCTATTTTATTTATATAGCACCAAATCACAACAAAAGGCGTTTCAAGGCACTAATAACTGCCATTTTCCCAGAAAAATTCTCATATTATAAATGACTGGGGAAATTTACTATGTTTTGTAGGCAGATATATTTGTGGTTTCACTGGAATGGCACTGCACAAATAGACATTTGTGATCCATCGCTGAACAAAATTTAACCTACTGTAAGCTTGTTTTCTTCCATTTAGGTGTTAGCACTCTTTTTGCTTTTGCTTTTCTGTATCCAAACCCTGTTTCATTCAGCCCATTTCTTTTAGTTCCATCAAAAACACTGTCTACAGTTTTCCCCAATTATATTTCATTTATATTGCTGTGCAGTTTCTACTTTCAATTCGTCTTGCTTTCAATTTTCTGTCCAGTTTCACTCCTTCTTCAAAGTCTCTTCAGGTATCCTTTCACTCCACTCAAGCTGACTTCAAGCTAAAGCACTGGAGGGTTTTGTGACTGGCCTCCTTGCTGGCCCTCACAGCACTTCATAACCACCACTGGGCTCCCAGTTGCCCCCCTCAACTAGTTATCCTTTTTAATTAAAATTATGTTTCTGAGATTTTTATTTATATTTACACAGCACCCCACTCCCAAAATTGGGATTGCAGCTAAGATAATCATGTTGTTTTGTAAATGTGAAACCAAGAAACACAAAGACAAGCTGACAACAAACTGTTCGGCATATTCCTTGTGCTGCTGAGACTCCAGAGTGACCACGCCAAAAGAAGACACTATTCAAAAAAGATGTAACTCATAAATGAGGAGTGTTTTATCATGATATATTTCCAAGCTCTAGAAATCAAATTTTACTCAAAGAGAGGGTATCAAGCTTGCAACTGTTAACTTCATGAACCCACACAAAGTAAAATTTAGCTGTACAATACTTGAGTACAACTCAATCCAACCTTTACAATATACATACCATACAAATAAAAGAAACAGTATCATCTTTGCCCTCTCAATTTTTTAAAAACCTCTGACCTACATCAGAAAATCCTCAGTCACTCAATAATTTAAAAGCCTCTCTCCTCATGGTAATGATGATGGAACACGTAGAGGCTATTGTATTTTATTGTAGAGGCTACATAATGCAACATTGTGGAGCGTAAGTTTTTTTCTCTCCCTCTCATTATCAGTGTATCCAAAACAATACTTACCCGAGATGTTGGTGTTCGGCTGATATAGGGATTCTGGACTACGCTGCTCATGGTAGAGATTGTGATTAGCAGATATAGCAGTATGTTGTAGTCAGCCTAATGCTAGCAGTTTCTGGACTGCTTTAAAAGTAGTTACTGAACAAGTTAATATGGCTTATCTACTCCCTCCTACTTGGTCACGTGGCACACAGAGCCCTATAACCAAGCCTGTCTGCACTGCAGTGGGCAAAAAATAATCTCACAAGTAAATTATTTAATAGCACTAAAACAAGCATCTACACTAAAAGCTTGTGATTGCCTAACAGGAAAGCATACTAAGGCCCTGAAATTTTGCTTGTCTCTACAGTAATGTCTGGTTTTTTTAATTATTATTATTATTTTTTATTTTTTATTTTTTTTGTGTCCCGTTTGGATCTTTAGCCATCAGAATTGTTGTCTTAAGGCCAAGAAAGATGCCAAGCGGATTTATTTTACCAAGTGGATCATCATGGCCTTGCCATATTGGTCCATTTGATTGACCTTTATTATAATTATGAATTTATTTTATTTTCAGTTGCTACAAACGGGACAGACATGACTGGGGGATAGGACAGGGAGAAAGAATGAAAGAAAGAGAGGGAGAGAAAGAAAACCAAAGGGGAGAAGAGACGGTGAGAAGGGGGGGAAGAAAGAAAAAAAACAAACACCTGGGTCACCTGTATGGAGAAAAAAAACAGAAGAGAAAGCAAACAACAAAGAGCAACATAATAAAAAAAAACGGCACCATCACAATAAACTAGCTAGCAGTAGATATCAGTAGATACTAAATAATAAACGATATTGTGCAGCACGCAAGATAGACAGCGCACAATGTGCTTTGAGGCAGCAGCCAAGAAAGCTGTAGTCCGCGTCTGTGAATACCCGTGTGTACACCTGTGTGCATACCTGTGTGGATCAGCATGCTTGCATTCCAAAGGTTTCTCCATGTAACGATCTGCTAGGGAGTGTGGGGAGCCACAGCCCCGTCATCCAGGGTATGAAGCAGGTATGGAGGAGATCAAAACTCCAGACATCCAGAGGCCCCCAGAACACAAGAGACCAAGGAAGACCAACAGAGGGGCAGCCGCGCCACTGTCCCAGTAAGAGCTGAGGAGAGTCCCAGATGAGGGCTCACTCAGCAGCCGCGGAGCAGAAGCCAGGGGGAGTTGCAGTGACGTGTCCGTGAGCTCCGCCGGCAGCCAGCTGTGCCTGAGTGACCGAGCCCCAGGCCGAGAGGCCGGGGGCACCCCACCTCCGAAGTGGCCCGAGCGAGCCCCAGGCTCCAGGCCCCGATAAGCGGCCGCCAAGGAGTGAGCCGGTGTGTACCCGGACGCCCACCCCCAGACACAAAGAACCACCAATGCACCGACACCTGAGGGAGTCCGCCACTGGCAGGGGAAGTGGTGGTGGGTGGAGATAGGCCTCCAAACCTTGGAGGGCCTGAGATGTCCCCAGAGAGGTGGCGTCTGATACCCAACCTGACATATAGACACAGACATACAGGCACACACAGACACAAACATCCATTCCCACCCTCATGCTCTCATATACACTTACTCCACACTCAACCAACGTGGAGACAGACATAAAGAGACGCTGTACACATGATCACACTCCCCAAGCGTACTCTACGAACCGGGTCTAGGTACCCTTGCCCCTGGAGGGGGGGACTGCACCCAGACCCAGGTGGTGTTACCCTTTTCCCTGCGGTGGGGAGAGGCAGACCGCCCCGACTCCGCAGCAGCAGGGAGGCCCCACACCCAGAGGACCGCAGTCGGACGGCCAACTCCTCCTAGCCCCCCCGCTCCAGCAGGCCGCAGAGAACGAGGGTGAGAGAAGACTCCAAACCTCCCTCCATCCGCTCATTGTAGTGTTGATGCATGTGTGTTCTAAGGTGCAATTAAAACCCAGGAGGGCATGGAGCTACCTGCCAGAGAGCAGCAGGTAAGCGCATAGTTCCTCCTGCTACCCCTCAATGTCTACATGTATTCAAAATTGAGAGGTGGGCAACGACGCCAGGGGTGAGGTGTACACCCTGACGGTAATTTGGACTCCGTGTATCGTGCCCACCCCCAAGATCCTATATGTATGTGTAATGAGAGTGTGAGTAATGTGAATGTCTAAGTTGTGGGATAAAATTGAGGCAGAGGCAGCCAGAAGGGGACAGAGGGGGGGGGGGAACCTCCTCTGCACCCTGGTGACATACCCCTACTCCAAGGCCCTGCATGTGTGGGTGGTTGTGGTGGAGCGGGGAGAGGGAGGCAGCTGGAGATGGGGAGGGAAGAAGGGAGGGGCAGGTGACCCCTCCCTGGGGCCAGCTCCCCCGCTGACCCCAGTAGGCACTCCCATACTCCGCGACCCGCCAGGGAAAGGGGGCCCAGGCCCATCCAGACCGGGGCCCAGCGCAGCAGCGCCCCCCAGCCCCACAGAGCCCGGGACAGTCCACCCAACCCCACCACAGAAAAAACTGCACCCACCCCACCATCCACTCAGCTTCCAGACTACATGAGACAATAGACGCCCAGGCTGAGATCTTCCTCCACCTCTCCTGTATCTCCTCCTCCAGCAGAGAGTTCCTGAGGAGAGGAAAGCTCCTGCAAGGTGTGACAATCTCCCCCACCAGTTGAAGAGTCCCCCAGGCGGCTCGATGCACCGGCGGCACCCAGCGCCAGGGATGGGCCCCCATGCACCCACCCGCCCACAACCCCGGCAACACACAAACCAGGACCCAAGGCCCCGAGGCCCGGCCAGGGCCCCAGCCCAGAGACGGAGCACCCCCAGAACCTCACGCCCATCCCGGACCCACCCAGGGGCAGACAGGCTACCAGGTCAGTAACCCACGTCCATCAGCACAGACCCTCCCCTAGCCCCGCTACACGCAGCCACGAGGAAACAGTCACCCGAGAGCCAAAAGAGCCCCCAACCGGACATGACCGCTACCCCGGGATGAGCCCCCCAAGGAAGATGCCTCCGGGGAACCCCTCGACACCCTAAGCCTGTCCCTACCCCCACACCAATCACAACAGTGAAGGCGGGACCAAACTATGACCCCCCACCCCCACTAGGTGATGGAGCTGATCAAAGGAGCCCAGAGCAATTGATCTGATGTGGTGGCAGAGGCTGTATCAAGATTAATGCAATCTAATAGATAATTTCTATATTGGTTAGAATTAAGATTGTTTTTATTTTTCCAGTTCATGGGGACAGTTTTCTTGGCTATGCATAGGGCAGTGAAAACCATATGGGCTATATTCTTTTCTGAAGTGACATTATCTAAGCTGCCCAACAAACACACTAAGGGGGAAGTTGGAATGTTACATTTCAGACACTTTGATAAGTCCTCACATATCTCGCGCCAAAACTTCTGCACTGGTGGACAGAACCAAAGAGCGTGAATGTAATTGTCTGGTGTATTGCCTTGACAGTGTGAGCAGTTGTTGGAAGATGTAAAGCCCATCTTGAACATCCGATGACCTGTATAGTGCACTCTATGTAGTATTTTGTATTGTATTAATTGCAGACTGGGATTTTTAATCAATTTAAAGGTTTTTAAGCATACCTGAGACCAGAAGTTTTGGTCTAAGCTGACTGATAAATCTGCTTCCCACTTTGAAATAGGAAGGGATGTTGATTCATCTAATTTAGAAAGTGTTCTGTATATTTTAGATAATAATTTGGGGGATTTAAGAGTAAGGAAATGTGCCGCACTTGGTGGTGTTTGTAATTCAACTTGACTGAGGTTAAATTTCCTTTTTACTATGGATTTAGTTTGTTGATATTCTAAAAAATCTTTTCTTGTTGATCCCATATTGTGCAACTAGTCTGTCAAATGGAATAAATTCTGTTCCCTCTAATATATGTTCTAAGTATTTAATTCCTTTACAACTCCATTCTGGGAAATTAATCATATTATTGTTTTGTAATATGTCAGGGTTGTTCCAGATAGGTGTACGTTTGCATGGGATTAATGAAGACTCCGTCAATTTTAGAAACTCCCACCATGCTGTCAGAGAGAAGCTGATGTTGATACTTTTAAAGCATTCATATCTTTTGATGTTTGAGCTAATAAATGGAAGGTCTGAAATCTCTAGATCCTTGCATAGTGCCTGTTCAACATCTAGCCAAGGCTCATCTAAGAAGGTATGTTTTGACCATTCTGAGATGAACTGAAGCCTGTTGGCTAAGAAGTATTGGTGAAAATTAGGCAGATCTAATCCTCCTCTATCCTTGGTTCTTTGTAGCGTTTTTAAGCTGATACGCGGGGGTTTATCTTTCCAAAGGAATTTGGAAATATATGAATCCAGAGATCTGAACCAATCTTGTGATGGTTTGTTAGGGATCATCAAAAATAAGTAATTTATTTTTGGCAGGATCATCATTTTTATAGTGGCGACCCTTCCCATGAGTGATATGGGTAAAGATTTCCATCTAGTCAGATCGCCTTCTACTTTCTTTAGAAGTGGGATGTGGTTTAATTTAGTTAAGTCTGAGAGCTTAGGAGAAACATTAATACCTAAATATTTAATATTTCCGGATTGCAGTGGGGCAGAGGAAGAATTATGGAAGGAGCAGTTAATGGGGAGAACTGTAGATTTTGGCCAGTTAATTGAATAATCTGAAACTCTTGAAAACCAGTTTATTAGAGTAATTACCTCAGAGAGGTTGGTTTGTGTGTTTTGCAGAAAAAGCAACACATCATCCGCATAGAGACTGATTTTATGTTCTATGTTCTTACATTTTATGCCCTTAATTGTTGTAGCCTGTCTAAATGCTGCTGCTAGAGGTTCGATAAAAATTGCAAAAAGTGAAGGGGAGAGTGGGCATCCCTGTCTGGTGCCCCTCAGGAGACAGAAGCTGGAGGATGTCTGGTCATTTGTTCTGATACGAGCTGTTGGGGAATTGCATAATATTCTTATCCAGTTTATGAAAGAGTTTCCAAAACCAAATTTGTGTAAAGTTGCGAATAAAAATTTCCAGTTAACTCTGTCAAATGCTTTTTCTGCATCTAGAGATAATATTATGGTTTCGATGTTTTTAGTGTATGAGTAGTCT